CAAGAATACTCTACCCAGCAAAGCTATCATTTAGAATTGAAGGTCAGATAAAGAGCTTCACAGACAAGAAAAAGCTACAGGAGTTCATCACCACTAAACCAATATTATATGAAATACTGAAGGGTATTCATTAAGAAGAAGAAGAAGAAGAAAAAGGTAAAGATAAAAAATATGAACAAATACACATCTATCAACAAGTGAATCTAAAAATCAAGTGAATAAATAATCTGATGAACAGAATAAACTGATGAATGGAATAGAATGAGGGGCATGGAAATGGAACAGACTGATGATTCTCAGAGGGAAGAGGGTGTGGGGGGTGCAAGAAGAGATTAGACAAAGATCTTATATGCATGTATGCATTACCTATGGACACAGACAATACAGTGGCGAGGGCTTGGGGTGGGGTGGGAACCTGGTGGAGGGGAGCTATGGGAGGAAAAAAGAGAGATATCTGTAATAATTTCAACAATAAAGATTAATTAAAAAACACACAAATGTGGCAAAATGTTCATAATTAGTGAATCTGGGTGAATTGTTTATGCCAATACTTTGTATTATTCTTGCAACTCTTCTGTAAGTTTGAAATTATTTCAGCCCTAGCTGGTTTGGCTCAGTGGATAGAGCGCAGGCCTGCGGACTGAAGGGTCCAGGATTTGATTCTGGTCAAGAGCACATGCCTGGGTTGCGGGCTTGATCCCCATTAAGGGGAGTGCAGGAGACAGCCAATCAATGATTCTCTCTCATCATTGATGTTTCTGACTCTCTCTTCCTCTCCCTTCCTCTTTGAAATCAATAAAAAAAAATTTTGTTTTGTTTTTAAAGAAATTATTACAAAATGCAAAGTTATATCTTGTTCTTAGGAGAGAGGTTAGAGTGAGCTAGCAGTATCCCATCCAAAGGATTCCCTTCCACATTTGAAAGGAACAGTCAGCCAACCCATGCTAATACACCCATGAGGATAAAGTAGAAGTCTGTGAATGTTTATATATTACTCTACTTGTAAAGCATTTTGAAGGTAGATTGCAGTAAATGTCAGAGACGCATTAAAAAAAAAAAGAATCCGAGCTAAAAATAAACTAGATTCATGATAAAGAATTTCCTTAAAAAATGGAGATCATAGTGGCTGTTCTTTTTTTCTTTACTAAAGTTTATTTAACAAAAGTACAATGTGAAAATGGACAGAGCTCGATTGGCATATTAGGCTTTTAATATATAGAATAGCTAAGATATGGAGATAGCCCAAGTGCCCAACAGTAGATGAGTAGATGAAAAACCCTGTGATACATTCACACCATGGAATACTATGCAACTGTAAAAAAGAAGGATCTCTTACCCTTTCAGACAGCATGGAGGGACCTGGAGAGTATTATGCTAAGTGAAATAAGCCAGACAGAGAAAGACAAGTATCACATGATATCACTTATATGTGGAATCTAATGAACAAAATAAACTGATGAACAAAATGGAACCAGAGACATTGAAGCATGCAACAGATGGACATATTTCCGAGGAAAGTGGGGGAGGGAGGAGGGAAGAGATTAACCAGATAACTTATATGAATACTAGAGGCCCAGTGCATGAGATTCATGCACTTGGTGGGTCCCTCAGCCCTGCCTGTGCCCTCTCACAGTCCAGGAGCCCTCAGGGGATGTCTGTCTGACGGCTTAGGCTGGCTCCCTCCAGGGGACTCCCTAAGCCAGCAGTCAGACTCCTTAGTGCTGCCGCTGTGTTTGCCAGCTATAAGCCCAGCTCAGGGATTCTGGCTAAGTGGCACTCCCCACTGTGGGAGCGCACTGACCACCAGGGGACAACTCCTGTGTTTAGTGTCTGCCCCCTGGTGGTAAGTGCGCGTCATAG